AGTATTGATCTCACTCTCTCGGGGACCCCGATCGGCCCCCAGTATTGATCTCACTCTCTCGGGGACCCCGATCAGCCCCAGTATTGATCCCACTCTCTCAGTGACCCCGATCGGCCCCCAGTATTGATCTCACTCTCTCAGTGACCCCGATCAGCCCCAGTATTGATCCCACTCTCTCGGGGACCCCGATCAGCCCCAGTATTGATCAGTATTGATCTCACTCTCTCAGTGACCCCGATCGGCCCCCAGCTCACAGAAAGCCGCATGTCCCCCCACCCTTGGGTCTCGAAGACTGCACTCTGAGCCCACCTGCAGTAGCGTGTAGGCACAGCTGCCGTCGAAGACGAACCTCCTGTCGTCGAAGGTCCGGAAGTGGCCCTCGCCGTACTGCACGCAGGTGCCCGGACACACTGACCGCATCACGCAGTCCCAGCGGCCAGCCCGGCAGGTGCTGCAGAGAGACGGGACCGAAGTGGACACTCACTCATCAGAGCTGCTCTCCGAGTGGACTGTCCTTCGGTCAGTGACATGAATCCACAAGCCACTCATTCTGAAAACGCTTCCAGCTCTGGGTGTTTTAAGCATCATTTTCCAGTCTCTAACTGCAGCAGAAGCTATTGTGTTATTTTAATAAATACTCTATATGTATCAGAAGCAGTGCACAGCAGAGCCCAGAGGGCATTACCCTGATTTCTGTGCGTGATGAAGTGTGGTTACCGAGCTCTCGTCAGGAATGTGTTAAGTCAGATGCACCATGCTGATTTGTTCCTACAGATCGGTGACACTCTGATGCTGGAGAGATACAGGGTCTCGTGGTTCTCTGACGGTACTGGGCACAGGAGCCCCTGGAGTTTCCTGCAGCTCCTGCAGGACAGCGGGTGAAGTGCTGGTGTTTACCAGCTCTGGCACTCTGTCTGCAGCACAGTGTTTGCCTGGTAGAAGGTCTCCCCCTGCTGGCAGGAGCAGTCCTCCGGAGCCACACAGCCCAGAAGCTCGTCCTCGTACTGGCCATTAGGGCAGAAGCACTCGCTCTCACAGGTCATCTGGGACACAACAACAAAACCACAAAAATAACATGATAAGATAAGGTTGCAGAAGGAATGTCCAGGTTAAGTATTACTGCACATCCGGTGTGCACTGATAGAGCCTGTCTGCAGTTCTATCTGACTGGCTTGAGCTGAGGACCGGTTCCCACCCTGATTGTATCTTACTGCGGTACCAGCATGGGTGGGTGGAGTACAGCTCAGTGAGATCCTGCCCAGGGCCGAGTGAAGCACAACAAGACGAGCTGCAGGAACGTGTGGCAGAACTGAAAGCAGACAGCCGAAACACAGCACTGCCCTGTGAAATGACCATGCACATTGACTGTGCTCACACAAGCTCTGTCCAGACTGAGCACAGACAAACAGGGCAGGCGTACAGTACAGATCCCTCAGCAACACAAGCAGTTGAGCAGATCCAGCAGGTCACCACGCTCAGCCAGACATGTGTCTGGACAGGGGATCAGTGAAGCACACGGACTGCAGCAGTAGACTGGGGCAGCGAACATCAGCAATAACAGGGACACTGAACTAGCTGCTATGTTCTCTGCTCTTAAAGGATGAAGAAAGAGAAAAAGTGTATTACACATATGGCGCCAATTCTCAAGTCCTGGCACGTGGGTTCACAAGCTTTCTGGGTCTCATTGACACAGGAGTGGAAGATCTTCGGAGGGGTGCACAGGCTGGAGAGGTCATCTGCAACAACACACACTGTCAGGACCTGAGCACTCTTGCCCCCCAGCAGGCTGAGAGACACAG